GGGGCAACAACAACAAAATATTTTTACACAGAAAACTTTCCCTTTAACATTCACATCTGTTATGTCACGTTGATGATTTCACCATCACACCTAAAGCATCAAACAGTATGTGATCGCCAAATCCACTTATTGTGTTTTAAGTGAATGTCCTTTTAAAACCCTTCATAGATACATGTTATATTTTACATTTTGCGATCTAACCTATTTAACATAGGTTAGATTCTCACACAATCTCACACAAGCTTTCCTGGTTTCACAACAAAGATGACAAAGTAAGGTTACTAAAAAGAAGAATGAAATTATGTATGCATCCATTTACTTATTCATTTGAAGAAATGCTGCTGTGTACTGTGTCAGTAAAAACCATTCTATGTAAAATTTTAACATTTCTTGTGGTAGGATCAAGAATGCAAGAAAAAAAAAACTTAAACACGGCCAATTTATAGGATTTATCATTTGTAAGTTGCTGTAATTCCAAGACAAATTCATATATAATAACACTGCTGTTTTCATTATTTTCAAGCAAGGCATTCAAATTACTTGGTGTGCTTTACTCTCATGCTGGCAATCACTATGAAAGAGCAGACAAACATTTAAACTCTTCATGCGCTTTGCAATGTCACTGCTTTGAAACACTGCATCAAAAACATCAATGTATGTAGAAATGTGTTTTATCCCTCTGGTTCTCTTTGCTAAGGTTGGCATACCATAGATTAGCTAATAAGGCAAATGAAGCCACAAGGCAGACATAGATGGCACACTAATATATGGCATCTTTGAGAATAATAACTGTTTTACAAGGTAAATCAGTTATAATAATAGAGTGCTGTGCAAAAGTCTTGAGCCACCCCTCATTTCTCTTTATTTTAAAGTTATGACTAGGAAATAGGACAGCAATTTATTGAAATTTGCAAACATACAGAGAAAAACCAACAAATAAGGCAAAAACAGAGTTTGTACAATTCTACTAAGTTTGAAAGTCAGTATTTGGTACGACCACCTTTATTCTTTAACACCGCCTGAACTCTCTTAGGTAAGCTTTTGTGTCATTTCTTTAAGTAGTCTGCTGATCCCTAACACTACTGGCTAAAATATATCCCCAAACCCTGACAGTGACTTGACTGTGCTATAGACACTCGCCATTGTACCTCTGTCTTCACCTCATCCGTAAATACCGTTGATGATTTGATCGCCCCCAAAAAATTTGGATTCATCACTCTGTCAGATTGCCACTGATTTTCAGTCCAATTCTTTTGTAATTAGACACACCTCAGCCTTTTCTCCCTATTTCTCTTGCTTAAGAATGGCTTCTTGACAGCCACCCTTTTACTGAGACCATTTCTGATAAGGCCTGAGTGAACAGTAGATGAAATGAAGCACAAATTTCTTAAGGACACAACTTAAGAAACAGAGATTGTTCATCCGCTGCCGACAGCTATTTATGTCTGTAATTTCTTTTGTCCGATTGTCCAGTTTCCCTTAATGTTTTTAAGGACACACCGCACACCATGTACCAAGTTTTCTCTTATAACCTTGGTGGTGCAAAAATACAATTTTATGCCTGTCAAACTGTGTAAACCTTGGATTTTTGTTGATTCGGCTAAAAAACAAAACAAAAAAAAAACGGAAATATTTATATGTTTTTGAGACCGGCTGGTAGCAAAACAGTCCCTAAGATACAGTTTAAAATTGGTTCCTTACAAAGTTGTCTGTGATAAACACAACAGTAGTTCATCCCTTGTGTTAGGTGTCTTCCTTTAAGCTCTAGTTATTCATAGGTCAGTGTTAAGTGGCTTCGCAAACAATAAACACTCATCTAAAAATAGTCAGCTACACGACTTGGGCTGAAAACAAGTAAAAGCCAAAATCCATAGAAAAAAAAAATCTGAAAGACCTTCAGACAAGCCTGGACAACTATTGCCCAAAAAACACTTAAAAATTGCAAGAAAGTTTGGCTCCTTCGAATTAAAATAAGACAATGAGAAGCGGTGCAAGACTTTTGCACAGTAATGTATAACAAATATATTACTGTGGATCAATAATAAATATCTTTTAAATGTACCCTGAGCAGTTAAGTTGACTTGTGCAGACTTTTTTTAATAAAAAGCATAAAGCAGTAGATTTTGGCACTAAAATAATATAATGGCACTATAGGTTATGGGACTTACTGACATAAAAGTATTTGCAGCTTATTGTTAACCCCTTTATTCATCCCCAGAATCATGCATATTTAAAAACATCCAACAGTATCCACAAATAAAAATTAATAAATATAAAGAGCAATTAATCAAAAGACTGTAAAATGTAGATGTCAGTGCAATGCAAATTAATGCATGTTAGCTTAAAAAGTTAAAAACACAGACTTAAGTATGGCTATAGTGCATTTTTTATTGCCTAACCCAGTCACCCCCAAAAAGACCCCCTAAATGGTACAGTTACTTCTATTAATAAGCTAATGGAAATAATATTAACCCAAAACCGCCGCCATGCTTGCTGTAGAGCTTTGGGCTTTGAGAGAAAAAAAAACGCAGTATTAGATGGCCACTAAGGCTAAGAATGGTGATGATACAATCACAGATCGGATCTTCTATTGGCTGTGAAAGGCACACAAGGATGAGTATTAGCTTAAGGATGCAAAATGAGAATTAGAAGGTAATTCTAATTCTTTGGGCGGAGGGTTTTAATCTGCAGGCAGAAGTCCTGACAAAGAGCAGGATGGAAGAGACATGAGGTTAATCTTCATTAAAATGTCACTCTACTCTCAACTCAAGCTTCTGGTGGTGCCTCCCTGCTTTTACTTGGCATGTGTGCTCAAACTAATGTGTGCGGACGCGTGCGTGTGTGTGTCAGTCCGGTTTTCAATTCTTTAATGCCTTCAAAGAACCCTTGTAAAGAAAGCGATCTCATCCAGGTCCACAGGGTAATCAGTGAGGTACATGGGACCTTTATCATAATGTTCCCCCTTGTAGCTTTTCCATCGTCCTGCAGGCAAGTAGATATCCCTCTCTTGCTTTCCTGGCTCCAACACTGGCGCCACCATGAGGTCATCCCCAATCAGGAACTGGGAGTCGATCTTATAGGCAGCCTCATCATCATTGGCAATCCACCAGAGGGGCCTTATGATTGGGTCTCCTGTATCAAGAACCACGTGTGCCAATTCAAGAACTTTTGGTGCCACCAGAGTTTCATGGAGCCCTGTGAACTTCTGTGCTATCTTTACCACCTGCAGATGCACAAAGACATTGAGTTAGCATGGAGCAGAGGCCACCTAACAGACAGCAGAGTAATAAAACTACCCACACGTCCTGCTTCAATTTATGCATCAAAGCACATAGAAAAAGAACTGACTTATTGTTTTTGACTTGTGATCAGTACTTGTATATTTTCTAGGAGAAATATTTGTTAATGAAAATGGCATTTTATTTATTCTTTTTTTTTTTTGAGAAAAATCTGATTTTCTTTAGCGCTTTACGGTGTACGGAGGTCAGAAGAAGGTAAGGCAGCATTCACTAAGCCTGAGAGACACAAGAAAATGTTTAAAGCTTCTAAACCTTGTGTACAGGGTAAGTTGACTTGGATGAGTATTTTTATATTAAAATCAACTCGGAGCCCACATGGTCTTATAGCTGAACAGTCAGAGGGCATGATCTGGAATGCTTTTTAGAAATTAATCTTTCTGAAACCATGTTTACATCTCTAAAGTGCAAAACTGCTGTTAGAAGTATAAATCTTATCTGGGCATTCTTCTCTGTCATCCTGAGAGAGATTTTTGGTGTCCAGTAGGAGGACTTGAAAAAAAAAACTACTACCGGTAACTGTTTTTGCTGCTGTATTGTTATTTGTTTTAACTTTTTTTTTAAAATTTCTATCATGGTACACTACATGCTACATGTATTACAACACCACCCACTCTATGAATCAGAATCAGAATCAGAATCAGAATGGGGTTTATTGCCAAATGTTGAGCAGGTTTACAACATTAGGAAATTGCTGCGGTGCTTCAGTGCAAACATGGTGTCATAAATAACACTTAAGTAGACATGGAAAAAATAAAAGTAGGGATAAGAATTAAAAGTGCTACGTGGAAAGATATGTGCATGAGATATACATGAGATATATACATGAGAGTAAGAATTAAGAGTGCTACGTTGAAAGATATATATACATGAGTGCAGGTGGTGATCAGTGCCAAACATGGAATGGTACAGTGAACAAGCGTAGGGTCATGTGTTAGTGGCGGGGACAGTCATATGGTTATTGTTCATGTGTCCAACAGCAGAGGGGAAGAAACTGTTCTTATGGCGAGAGGTTCTGGTGCGAATGGACCAGAGCCTCCTGCCTGAGGGGAGCAGGTCAAAGCAAGATCTTACCACATGGAGTGATCATAAGAAAAGTAAAGAGACCACATTAAAGCACTTCATTATGCTGGATGGCCTAAAACAAATAGGTCAGGACTCACAGTGTTCCCACAGTGTGGTCAAGTATGTCATGGACTGAAAAGACTGGTACCTAGAAAATGTGTCAAGGAAGAGGCAGAAAAGAAAAGCTGACTGAAGTAGATGAAAGGCACCTCAAGATTTTAAGTGCTATAGACAAAAAGCAGACCACTGCTGATTTTCAGGCAGCGATAAATGCTTCTAGATCAGAGTATGAGGTTTCCAGAATGACCATAAA